AATCATCACATGGTCAGCGAGGGACCCATAGGTCCGCTGCTGCCCAGCATGTTGGACATTGGGGGCATCGTTATGGAGCAGATGGAGCGAAAGGAGTTAATCTTACCTCGACGTCCCTTCATAGTCTTCAGCCTGGGCACGCGCTTTAGCTGGCTCACAATGCCTGGTGAAGTGGAGAAAGCATTTGTGGATGCCTTTGCTCAACTAAAGGATTATGATATATACTGGACATATGATGGAGCTAATGCTAGTGCTATTCACTTGGCTAACAGTCATATCTATTTGGAGAAATGGTGGCCACAAGCTCAGCTGTTAGCTCAACCCCTGGCTCGACTCTTCATCACACATGGAGGCAAGGGAAGTCTCAGTGAGGCGCTCTACCACGGAGTTCCTATGCTCGGCCTGCCTCTGCTAGGCGATCAACGGCCAAATTTGCGCAAAATGCAAGCTAAGGGCTGGGGCTTGTCTCTGGATATTCACAATACCAGTCAAGCTGAGTTGTTGTGCTCCATTGAGAGGCTGCTGAATGAGAGGCACTTCAGGGAGAGCATTCACAGATCTTCATTGTTGTATCGTGATCGTCCTTTGAATGCCAGCGATTTGGCTGGGTATTGGCTGGAATATGTGATTAGGCATGAGGGTGCACCGCACCTATCTGGCAGCGCCAGGTACTTGACTTTCTGGCAGCGCCATCTACTAGACGTTAGACTCGCCGTCTATGGAACGCTGGGTTTGCTTTGCTGGTTGGCCCTTTGGCTAAATAGAAAACTCGACTGCAATCGCTGACTAGCTTTATCGTTTAATCGTAATTTGTAATAGATATTTATATAAGTAAGTTTACATATATATATATGGATTGTATATATATAGTAAGTAGTTATAGTTGTAGCTTAAACACGAAACTTAAGTACAATTGAATGTTAGTTGGTTTCAATACTTTTTGTTCGTTTCCGAAATTTTAGATAGTGTTCATTGTGTTTCAGTTCATACGCCTAGAACCAGAATTAATTTAAATTTAATTTTTCAATGTGTTGACTTAAATTACAAGATGACTGCAAATGAATAGAACGTTTTCTAGATTTACTTGAAGACTAAAGTGAATGAACAAGATTGAATAAGCTTAATAGTTCAATTTATTATTTAGAAAGTTTCTAGAAAAATCATTCCAGTTGAGTTCAATCATGAGATTGATGGCACTTTTTTTTTTTTTTTAAATTGTTGAAGACAAATATTCTAAAGAAATTTACCAACTGAATTCAAAGTGGTTTGAATGAAATCTTGACGAAAACATAAATAGAATATGAAAACTTTTTTAACTGTATGTAATTTAATATCATATCATTCGTAATTGTTGTGGCTCTAAGTATTAATCAAATGAGCGATGAGATAAGATCTAGTGATCAAATGGATCTTGAATCTTTTATATACATATATTTTTTCAATTGCATGATTTTCGATTATTAAATTATTTATATGTAGAGTATATTTTTTATGTGATGAGAAAGTTTTTTTCTGTTTTGGAACATCTTTTGAGGACATAGAGAAGTTCATAGTGATGACTGACTTATCTTTAATCCTAAGTTTGCTCATTTGTATAAAAATAAAAAAAAATAGAAAAATGTAAATATATATAGAGGAGATTTGATGATATTCGACTGCTTCTAAGCGTATGAACTGTGCTGCACAGTGGGCGATGATTGCTCAATTCTTGTTGATGCAGATAATAAATGTATGTATGTATGTATGTAGGTGTTAATAGTTAAATGTATGCACAGTTCTGAATTACTGAATGTATCAACCTAGCTTAGCCAAAGCCCAGTTGACGCGGCTGCGATTGCGTTGAGCGCGGACATCGGCCGATGTTTAGGTTAAAGACGCCATAGCTGCAGATGGGCGGACTGCACTCGTTGCTGCGAATGCATCTGTGGAGGAGTTCGGATATTATTAGTCATAGATTTCGATGTAGACTTGGTTGATTGACGGCAATTACTTGAGCTCTGAGACGGCGAATCCCTCGTCGCCGTTCTTCATGCGCTGGCACGTCACGTTGCTCAGGTGGCAATCGCAGCGGCAGCGATTCGTTGTGCTGCTGCTGCTGCCGCTGCTGCTGCTGCTGCTGCTGCTGCTGGCGCCACTTGGTGTCAGGGCAAAGTTTATAAAGTGCTTGGGGCACTCGCATTGGGAGCTACGCTTGCGCCTCTGCGCTGGCCGATTGATGCAATGGCACTCGGTGTGATTGGTCATCGGCACAATTGTCGCCTTGCTGTGTCGGCTGTGGATGGAGCGCATGAAGAACACCTTTTCGACGGTCGTCTGGTTCTTGACGGCCCACACCTCGTTGCTGGAGCAGCAGCTGCTGTGCTCGTCACACCGATGGAGCACAGTGGCCCGTGGCGAATAGACCGTCGATGTTTCGCTCATCATGCGAATCACTCGCGCCTGCGGCCGCTTGCAGAGCGGCTCGTTCTCCATGCTCTTTTCGTGCAAGCGAGCGAGGTTGTCTGGAAAGAGCAGGGAAATCATATACAATATTGAAAATGATCTAAGTGAGCTAATAAAGCGTTAAAGGTAGTCTGAACATTTGGTTTCATATCGTAATGTCTGCCTCTCTATCATTCTGTCTCTATCTCCATCTACTTCCTAATTGGGGTAGATAGTTTAGAATTTGGCTTTGGGGCAGCTGTAACTTGGGGCAACTCGGAATCCAGTTGCAGTTGCAGTTGAATTTTATAGCTGCATAATGACTTTATATGGGCTTGTGGGTGGGCGTTGCATGCCACGCCATGGTCACGGCTAACTGCCAAAGGACAAGCGGTTGCCGAGAGGGAGGCTAGTTCAAAGACAGCAGCTGCTGTTGCTGTTGCTCTTGCCTCGTTGGGGCAATAACAAATTTTGCGCACTTGAATAATTCATGGAGCAGGGCGGCGACTCAGGCTGGGGCTAAGGCAATTGCCATGTTGTCTGCCAAGTTGATAATTCAATCGTGTCATATACACATATATATATATATACCCACACATATACATTTAAAAAAATGTCAGTAGCTTGATCTGATTTTCATTTCGATTCTGTTTCGCATTTCGGATTTCGTTGCGTGACACCCACACCTCCATATCGTATTTACATCTGTTGCCTTTATTTTTTTTGTCTTGCTATTGCAATTTTATGACTTTATTGGCTTGCAATCCCCTGTTTGTTTGTTTTTGTTTTTTTTTCTTTGGCATCTGCATTGAACAGCCACAGCAACAACAACAACAACAACAACAATGGGGACAACTTTGATAACGACTGTGGTATAAAAAGCCGTTGCGTATGCTAAAAATTTCAGCGTTTCCCTTTTATTGGCTTTTGGCGACAGCGGCAACAACAGCAACAACAATATGGAATGTAAACAACGTTGAAGCAATAAAGGTGCAAAACTGCTGCCGATCCATAAAGAAATAAATACAAACAAAACTAGTGCAGGGCAAGTGGAACGACTAGCGAATACCCCTTGTAGAAAGACTATTTATTAATGGAATTTTAATTTTATTTAAATTATATCAGATATTACCTAAAACAGATTATAAGCCAATTCGAAATTAGTTTCTATTGATGGTGGAATTGATTACATTATTTATTGATAATAATAGATGTAAAATTTTTTAATTTTAATTTTTTTAATTTTAATTTTTAAAAATCTTTTTTTTAAATACGTAGATGAGTGAATACAAAAAAATCTAAAACTTATATAGGATCCTGCTTAAGCCTAATTAAATATAGAGAAAATGCTAAAATATCACCACCAAGATGTATGTATAATAATGTGAAATAGAATTAAATATAGCATAAGAATTTTATAATCCTGTTATATATATATGAAAATAACATGAAAAGTATCTATATATGTATATAAATACAATATATATGTATGTACATATATCTACATTCAACCATATTTGTTTATTTATTTATTATTATTCAATATCTCAGTTTATTTTTTATAACATAATTTTTTAATTTTCCATGGACTGTGATTTTGTGTCACATATTACGTGATATAATTGTTAAGCCCTTTGGCAATTGAAAAGCAATTTGCATGCAAAAAATGCGCGCGATATAAAACGCGAGCAAAACGCTCGCATTGCGTATGGACGTTGATATATGTAGCAATAGGCTTGCACACAGACACATACCCACACAAATATGTACACTCATATAAAGAAATAATAAATTGACATTGAATAGTGTAATGACGAGCTTGAATGTAGTTGATTGAACTGCGTTTAAAAACGCGCATGAAACGCGCCTGAGAACTGAGTACAAAACAACTAAGATATAAATGTGAAACAAATATGTTAAAAATATATAAATAAATGTAAAAAAAGTATTTTTTGAAGTCGTTGACATTAAATAAAAACCAATATTCAGATATGGAATTTTATATTTTGTGTCTTCATAAGGGCAGCCAAAATTAACTTGAAATATCATAAAAATACGTCTGTTATTTCCACGATCAAAGTCCCATGGCAGACTACATATGCATGCTCGTTCGATATCGAACTCTCATGATTGATTAACATAACATAATAAATGCATTTGCAGATAGAGCTCGACTTATGGCTCGCTTCGTATCGCAGGCATGCCAATGTCAAGCTGTAGTAGTGTATGAAAATTGCATGCGCACACAATAATAATGATATATGTATGTTAGCAACGACTGCAGCAAGCACTTGAGATAACGGTTAATAGGCAAACACATGTCACTTAAGCCAGGAGTCAATTTATAGGAATCGATCGATGGCAATTTCGTGGCCAACTCCGGAGTTGACTTTCCACTTATTCGCGGCGGACGACAACAAAATGTGATAAGAAAATTGTTGCATCATTACGCATTTAAAGCGGCAAGCTGTGTCTGCCGGCAAGCCCAGCCACAGCCCAAGCAACAGAGACAACAACAGCAACAGCAACAGCAACAGCAGTGACAACAGCGACAAACAGCAGCAGCAACAACAACAACAACAACAACAGTGAGGCATATCAGCTAACAATTTCCCAGGCTTAGTGACACACTTTCATTTGCGGTGACGTCGCTGCTGTCCACACGCGCTTAACGGTTTGCAATATACTTGAGTGCTCGACTCGCAGATGCCCTTTAAACTAAAGTTACTTAGTATTTACTACCAACATTGTATTTTTAATGCGAATCTTGAGATCCTATTCTTTATATTATTACCTTAGTTTGAAAAAATAATATTCAGAATATTTATATATATGCACATACACATACATATATGTATATCATTATATACCTACATACAAGTGCTAAGAAAATATATACATATATATCAAATATATATCGACAGATTATTATTTGCTATAAGTTGACAATAATAATAATTAATTTAATTGATTGAAAATATTATAAGCTTTCATGTTTATACTTTATTTTATTCTTAGTCAATAATTTATATAAAGTTATTATCATAGTGCAGTTAAGTTGTTTTTTATTTATGGACTATAAACATATATGTATATATTTATAAATCAAATATTTGATGTGTCTATTATAACGGATCCCTAAATAGTTCAAATGGAATAATTAAATTTGTATTTAACAATTTTAAGCAAAGAGTAAAGCTAAAGTGTTCTGA